ATCTGTCGATTTTTATTTTTTTTTTCACCTTTTCTCGATTTGTGAGTATCATCCTTGCGCAAAGGTCGTGCTAATCTTCTCTGTATCGTCCTCCATCTCTCCTCCTCGTCGCAGGTGTGTGTCATCCTTGCGCAGGTGTGTGTGTGTGTGTGTGTGTGTGTGTGTGTGTGTGTGTGTGTGTGTGTGTGTGTGTGTGTGTGTCTGTGTGTGAGAGAGAGAGAGAGAGAGACCATCAAGTACAAAAAAAGGCAAGTGCTTCCCGCACGGTTCCACCCAACGTTACAAATTTGCAATGACGCGACTATCTGTCCCCAAGATTCTAAGCACTACAGGTAATTTACAACGACAACACTAAATTGCACGAATGGGGATCTACCATACATGACCCGCAACAGTGGACAGGGATCGACCAACGAAGCCTCGCCGTGTCTACGACGGCGCACCTACCAACACGACTKCAACGGGAAACCAGCCAACAACTCGCCCCCGACATCAAGGGACTCCACAATTGCACAACACACTTCCTAGCTGCTCGGCCGCTCACGAATGGCTTTCGCTATTTCCAACAATGCATGGCACATGAGTTTGTTGACTTCGTCTGACGCGGCATAGTGCTTCCTTTGAACTTCCACCTCCACTTCCAACGCCTCGCGCTGCCGGACCTGGATAGAGCATTGCCGCTTGCTTGCACTCTCCATCGTCAACGCCATTAGCTCTTCGTGTTTCTCTATGCATTCCGTCAGCGCCTCGAAAGTTTGCTGCCTCGTGCTCTTCCTTTTCCCAGAACCGYCGGGGGTGCCCGTCGTCTGCGAAGAGCCTCGCGTCGACCCCTCCTCGTCGTCTTCTCGCCCTGCACCTCCTTCCCTGTCCGCCACCGATTCAGGATCCACGTAAGATGTTGAAGGCGGGTGCACGCCGCSAGACGCACCGGTGYCTGCCACGTTCTTCGGGTGGATGGTGTGGTTYATCCCAGTCGACCCCTCTATCTCGTCATAAACTGCGCGATCCATCGTGAAATTGAAGCCCCTGCTCGCCCTCTCCTTCGACGACAACGAAAAGAAGTCGGCACCCCTTGACGGTGATTGAAAGTGATGGACTTTGTTGAACTGCTGCATTAGATTGTCCCACTTCTTCCCTCATATCTCCGCATTCCTATCCACGCCGACGTTCTTTAACCTTTGGGCGACGTCTTGCCATTTCCATTCCCGCGGTTTCATCCGTGCGTATGTGTGCCCCATCCCCTACATATGCGCATCTTGGTCACGTTTAGCCCTTATGAGGGCTATAATGTGTTCCACCGACCAGAAGTTGCGCTTCTCCTCCGCATCATTGGAGCCTTCGCCGCCGCTCCCCTTTCCCTGCCCTTTCTTCGCCCGCGGATGAGCATTGCGGCCGGAAGCCTTGGAGTTCCCACCCTTACCAGCCATGTCGCTCTGCAACGATGGCGACGCATGACCACCCCCCCCTTCCCCACAGTCTACGTCGTTGTCGTCGTCGTCGTCGTCTGCTTCCGCCGGTGGATCGTCCGTCTCCTTCTCGTTCTCCCGGTCTCCCACGTGAAGACGCTCCACCCCCCGTGTGATGTATTCCTCTCGCCGCAGCCGGTGATCCCGCCACAGGTCCCTCCACACCTCCCTCCTGTCGCGACCATCACCAACATCCAAGAAGTCGGTCCCGCCGTCGACTCCGAAGCCACGGCCTCGTGCCACTTCCGACGCCGCAGACAGGGCAGATGGCAACTGCATCCACTCCGGCCGACCCTAGGCGCCCTTGGACAGAGAGGCCGCCCGTGGTTAGGCCGTCGACGAGTTCCGGTTCGCTCCCGCTGTCTCACTCGCCAACGCCCTCGTCCTCGCTGATCAATCAACAACTGTCAATTGCCCGCCTTTGTCGCCGGGGTGGGGTCGCACGAGCACTGTGCGCGATGGAGTTGTAGACCGCCCGGTGGACAAACCAAACGACAGGTTGACGTGGCCATGTCCTTCGTCTTCGCCAAGGCCAGGCCGAAGGAGTTTAGTGAACAACTGCTCGTACACGCCGCCGCCCGTCCCGCACAGCTCCGTGGCTGTCCACTCCTGCGTTGATCCGCTGCCCAACGACACGGTTTGTGGCCGTCTCTCCACCTCCTCCTCCTCGTCCGATGAGCCGAGGAGTGGTTGCAAGTGTGGTGGCAATGCATCATACCCAACCCGCTGGGAGGCCCTGCCAACGGTCGGCAGGCTCCCCCCGCACAGCCTCCCTCCGACCTGCTCCCCACCGGACCGGGCGATCGCCTGCCGTGCCTCCATCCTGGCGTCCTTCATCGAAGACCTTGTTTTGTGTCGACGCGGTGGCACGTTCCCAAGGATGCACACGGGGAAGAGAACCACGAGGAGCAGCAACAGGACAACGAAGAGCAGCAGCGGCAGCCTGCGGAACACGTCAGCCATGAAACAGTCGACGACAACGGCAGCAAACGGAAGACAACGCGGGCGCCAACATAACAGCGGAGTGCAGTGCTGCAAACGGCCATCCCGACTTCGCAACAAACCCCCGAGGATGTCTTCGGTCTCCCACGGTCAATGCGTAATTGGGAGCTGGAGTGCGGCCTGAAATATTCGTATTTGTCGACCGTTGGGACATTCCTGCGGATTGCCAAACGTGACGACGCAAGACGGCACCTTCGGGATGTCGGGGATGTCGGTTGGCCGCAAACGGTAACCGTTGGAGTGAAGCCGAACGTTGGCGACCCAACATGTCTGTGGAGACGCAGGCAATACCACCGATGGACCAGACGGAATTGAAAAATGTCGTCGAAGGAGCTGCCGTCGACGCCCCGATTCTTCCGGAAGCTCGACCTCTGAGGGACCTCGGGAGGTCCCTTTGAGAAATTGCCAAAATGGCTGTGGCCCCGAGGAATCCCCGAGGAAATGTGTTCACATTTTCTTTTCCGCATCTTCCCCGAGGATGAGTGGAACGAGCATGTCCTTGGGGAATTTCGGGCCCCGAGGAGTGTCGAACGAGGCCCAGAGCCTGCAGGAAACCGGGTCCAACGTCCCACGGGCCACGACCACCCAGTCTCAATAGGACAAAACTCCTCAAACTAGCCTTGAAGCACAAAAAAAGGCGACTGAACTAATCGATAACAAACCTCTCTAGTCCTTCAGCCTATAGCATGATATCCTTGCAGCGCAGAAGAAGAAGTGCAACGCCGCCATGTTTCTAACGTCGAAACACTATTGGCAAAACACTAATCTGCRGAATTYGAAAACACGCAAGGCAATTCACAAGGAATTTTTACAATTTTAACCCTAAAATTATTCCGAAAGCAAACTGAATAATCCCAAATAATCCCAAATTTCAACCCAAACACGTACCAACTTCAAACTAAACGTGGTGATACTRTCTTCCAAAAAACAGAACAATCATACAGCAGTGAATTGATCACACCTGCASGGGTGACCCTGTTACCCTCCCTATTCCACAACCCTRCAAGAAGCCTGATCTGCCATGACGGGTTTCCCACCACGCACCCTTGGACCTTCGTAGTTTTAGCGGACACAATTGGTACAGCTCAAGTTTGTTCCTCACCGGTTCTCTCATAGCATCTAACTGATAGCGTTCCCACCGCCTCTTGATACCCTCATAGGCTCATACTGCTCAAGATGGCGCCGCTATCAGTAATTCCCTGGGTTTCACCCTGACTATAGTACATAWTGCTTTGTTCTCACATTCATTAGCTGCTGTATCGCGCTACCCTTTCACCCRCTCTGTTCCAACACCYTGCAAAGAGCTTGAACTGCCATGACGGGTTTCCCACCAYGCACCCTTGGTCCTTCGTGGTTTAGCGGACACAATCTAYGTTGCACGCTGGCCGCGGCCGGTTTTGGCCTAGGCCGGGACCCCCCCGGCCGAGGCCGGCCCGGCCGAGTTTTTTCGGCCTCGGTCTTGGCCGATCTGGGGGGCGGTTTTCGAAGCGGGGAGCGGGTTTGGGGTGGGAGGTGGGGGGCCACCCCCTCAAAGTGACAGGGCGTCAAAAAAAAAAAACGGGGGGGTCTTGCACAAGACCCTGGAAGGGTGGGCCGCGAAAAATCCAGCGTCCCCCGTGTGCAGGTTCGTCGATGCAGGGTCGCAGGGAGGAGGGTCAGGAACAGTGGAAAAATATTAAAAAAAATATTTGACCCGTGCGGGGGCGGCCCAACRTGGGTTGGATGAGGGTCTGGTTGGGGCGGGCTGTGCGGCCAGGCCGGGTCGAAGCTAGACAGGGCTGCAGATGGCAGACCCCAGGCGGATAAGGGCCTCACACACTGAAAGGTAGGCGTCAGTTTYATTCATGAGGGCGATGACAGTTCGTGGCATATTTTAAAACAACACATTCATGGCAATCATAAGTCAGACCCTGTTTGGCATACCCATGTCAAAACACATTGAAAATTAATCACAGTGCGGTGAACCACAAGTTTCAAACAATGGTAACAGGCAAGTGTGTCATAGTGTGTGTTCACTCATGAGACTAATGGACATTCATTAGCACATCATTTATGTAAGAACACATTCATTAGCGCATCATCCCTATGTCGCATCTGAAATTAACATCACATTCATAATGGAGGCATCCATGACATGCAGGTGCGTGGCATCGGAGAAGCACATATGTTGGCGGAGGAACAAGAACAAGAGCAAACAATCACCAAACAACAGCGACTCAGATGCAAGACCAATGTTGGCGGAGGAACAAGAACAAGAGCAAATATATGACAAAGCATTTCAATGGAAATGCGTATGTACAAGGCTGAAGCCAAAAACTGGACYCGTAGTCTCTRCTGTACAACCGAGTAYCAAAAAAAAACTGGACCCATCGTCTCTGCTACACAACAGAGTAGCAAAAAATACTGGACCCGTCGTCTCTACTGTACAGTGTAAAACCGAGTAGCAAAAAAAAACTGGACCCATCATCTCTGCTACACAATAGAGTAGCAAAAAAAAATTGGACCCGTCGACGAGCGTCGTCTCTACTCTACAACCGAGTATTAAAAAAAAAAAAAAAAAACCTAATGTCCACATACTGTCCTCGTCTCCATGGAACAACATCGAAAAAAAAAAAAAAAAAAACCTAATGTCCACATACTGTCCTCGTCTCCATGGAACAACATCGACATAAATATGCAACAACCCTGCCAACACAGCGTCCAGGTTGTACAGCCACGCGAAAAACAAAAAAAAACTAATGAAAAAAAAAATACACCACGGACGTCGTCATCTCCTACCAGAGCGAGCGCGGCCTCTCCCTGAGGACGGGCGACCATGCGGTCCTCCCCGACGCCCTGCTCTCCCTCTGGCACCTGTGCCCCGTGCCCCGCTGACGTATGCTGCATGTGTTGCAGYGGCTGCCGCGACCACCTGTGCCCTGTGTCTGCGGGCCGCAGTCTCGATYGGCTCGGACTCAGTGTCTGCGTCCTCGTCCTCCTCCGCCTGTGCAACAATCCCCCTCTCTCTCTCCCTCTGAATCGCGTCCAATGCTGCCTGCCCAGCGGCGACCCCWGCARCGAGTTGAGCCTCAACCTCTGAGAGGCCATGCTGTCGTCTCGTCCCGGGACGCATCAACAACCCCTCCTCGCCCGATGTGAACTGCTCTCCCCGCAGCCTGTCCGTGGATGTCCCTGCGGCCTCGAGGACCAATGATCTCCTCGTCTCCGCTCGTGACAAAYCAAGCATGCGGCCTGCCATCTACAGGCTCGGACGTCTGGACCCACCCTCCGTAGCCTGCGTCTCAACAGCCGTACGTCCCGTGAAGACGCCCCTCCCGGCGTCGTARTCCGCCCGCAATCGGTCCCCGACCTGACGARCAGCTGACCATCCGCCACCCACACCACCTGGGACTGTCGGCGGGGAACCGCCACTGTGCGCAACTCCGGGTGCCTCCGTCCCRTCCCCGGTGTTGACCCTGGCCTCCGGAGTCCATGCGGGCRGTGGAGGMATCGATCCTGCACTATCTCTACCGCCGTCGCTGCGTCTGCCGGACCCCACCTCACCYGCACCGGACTCCCTCCCTCTCACGCCGCTGAGCGACGAACCTGACCAGTGAGGGCTCTGCACCACGAACGGCGGCGGTGAATATACCCTCCCAGGGGCCCGCTGCTTGCCGCTCTTGCGGCTCACGTGTGCGAAAGGGTCATCCATCAACGCTTGCGCCAAAGCGTCGACGTCGAAGAAAGTGTGTGYTRTGTCCTCAGTGCGCAAGGGAGGCACTGTGGGGTCCCTCAACACCAAGGCSWGCCCATACGGATCGTCCTCGGGACCGTGGTCATCGTCATTGTCGTYGTCCGGTCCATCGTCTCCACCGACACCCGCGGTATCCTCATCTCCAYCGGGTCCACCCTCTCCTYTGCCACACACTGCGGCACCCTGTCCCTCATCACCCGCGGTCTCGCTGTCGCCACGGCCCCCACTAGGGGACCCACCGCCCATGACAACATCCTGCCCCTCAGGGATACCCGCGGTCTCCTCGTCGCCGTGTCGTCCACCACCTGACCCACCACCCGCAGCGGCATCCTGCCCCTCATAATCGAACTCCCCCTGAACCGCCTCCTCAGGGACACCCGAGTCGKCCACGTCACGGCTCCCCCCCCGTCCTGTCTCCAAGTCCCTCTGCARACGCTGCTCGTCGAGATAYRTGAACCGACCCTCCCACTGTGGCAACCTCCCCAAGCGCTCCTCCTCCTCTYGGTCCAAACRGACATCCCTCTCCTCCTCAGTCTCAACAGGGTCCCKCTCAACGCCCGTGTCTGGGCGCACCTCCTGCGGTGAGGCACGTCGCCGTCCCTCGACACTGAAATCTCCCATGCTCCCGCCAAGCCCTACGACGTCGAAGTCCTGTGTGCGGAGCACCGACGGTGAGCGGGGGCRGATACCGGCGTCGGAAGGAGTCCTCTCCAYGAACCTCGCCGTCATGTGTCCGGTCTATGCCTGCTGCCGACGTCAACCTCTCYGAACGCCTAAGTGCCTCGGGCTGTGCAGAGATCGGATGATGGGAGGGAGAGAAGCGACGATCGCGAAGGGGCACATCCTCATCCTCGGCCTCCCCCTCGGCCTCCCCCTCGGCCTCCCCCTCGGCCTCGCTGTCGCTCCTAACCTCCCAACGCCTGCCTGTCTGCCGAAGACCTCCCCGTGGCTGCTGCTCCCCCGAGTCATCCACGCGAACTTCCGCATGCGAACGTCCTCCATGACCACCGCCGGCTCTGCTGCTGCCACTCGCCTGCGCGGTCGACGGCACATCACCAGTGATAACTGATGTGAATGAATCCATGCCGTCACGACCCCCCCCGTGAGTGAAGTACACTCGCTCAGCCGTTGGGTCGCGACTCAGCGGCATGTCATCATCGTCGGTCCAGCCGTCGTCGATGTCGTCGTCTGCTGCAGCAGCGTCCACATCATCCCCACCCTCCGGCCACGGTCGCAGCTTTGTCACTCTGCTGCCAAACACCCGAACCGAACGGGCTCTGGACGGTCGGCTCTCATGGAAAGCAACAATCTGTCACTGGATCTCCTGCTCGAGAACATTGCCATCAGGTCGCGCTCCCACACCTCGGGCTCCACATCTCCCTCCTCATCCTCCTCCTCTATCGCCGTCCCCCCCCAACCGGTCCCCATAACCCATGGCAACACGTAGCCACCACCGTGCCGTGCGCACGAGGCCAGTTTGAGATTGGTGTCAATCTCAACCAGCTGTGCAAGCTTGGCGAACCCAAGCTTGYAGCACCTCGCCGTGCTGACGCGCTCGTGCTCCGCCTAGCTCCTCTCCGCTGGAGAGGCAGACGTCCACAAGTGCATGACACGGATGGCGATGGTGCACAACTCCGGGTGGGCACGTCCATGCTCAAACCACCACGCTGCATATCGCTCGGTCTCGCTGTCCCCCCTGCAATCGGCCGCCTCGGCATCCGAGAGGTCACGATCTCCCCAATCCCCTCGCCTYGAGTGGAAAGCCCTCATYTGGTCCCTCACGCTCCTGTACAATCTGCAGACCGGATCRCCGCCGGTCTGCGCCACGAGAAATTTGYCGCACTCCTCGACAACACGRCGGTTGTCGGCGGTCGTCTCCAGCGAATGGTAATACGTGAGGGACCATCGACGAGGGTTTAGGAGGTGGGCCGCTGCATGTGCGGGCTCTAGCATGTGGAGGTTGCGGATGGCAACCTCACGCACGCACGGCTCRATCATGTCCGTCGGCACGTCGACCCTCCTCATCAACTGCAGCAGCTGCTGACTCCACTCGTAAATGACGGACATCATCATCCCCCCTCTATCCATCCTGCGTAACAGCTGGTGGACGGGCGACATGACTAGGATGGCGTACTGGACACGCTGCCAAAACTCCCCGTCCSGGATCTSMTGCTGCACCCACTGCGCCTGAGATACGTGGGCGCGATCCCACGGGATGCGTGCCCAAGCATCCCCGTGCAACATGCTCTCCAACGCGTGTCGTCGGCCATTGAGACACRTCAGSATCAGGAAAACCGATGCAAACCGTGTCTCAACGGGCTCGACGAGCTGAACGCGAGGGCTCACCTTCCTAAACAAGGTGTGAGCAGCGCCGTGCGATTTAATAAATCGCACAAGCGCTTGAGCGCGGATGATGGTTWCCTTGACCCACCCCACTCGCRTCCCGATATCTGACAACATCAAGTTGCAGACACGGGTGRAGCAGGGGAGCCAAGTGATCCTCATGATGTCGAGCTCTSGGTCTGTGGCGAACCTGCGCGCTGCCGCCGTATAGTTACTGGCGGAGTCTGTSCAGAAACYGATCACGTCSTTTGYAGAAAAGGACAAGATGATGGCCCACCACCTACGATACACGAYGTCCGYTGTGTCTCGGACCRACCCGTCACGTGCGACGGTGGCGTATAACAGGGCGCCATTGGCRCCCCCGGCGAGGAAGTTCACGAGCGGCTTGCCGCTGCGTGACTTCCTCCTRTTGGAGAGGATGGTGGCACCGCTGTGCCGAAAARTGGCRCACACCTCGCTYACCATCGTCCCCACCTTCSCCCTCTGCRAAGGGATACCGGCGCCCGYTGTAAYCTGTAGGAGGGAAACCGGAACTGGATAGAGCGAGGCACTCTCTCTKCTGCTTGCCGCACCCTCTGGAACTCCCGACCACGGAAGGCGTTGAATGGCAACTTCTTCACGTAGATCCACTGAAGCCACGCGTCTGAGAACTCGGCCAACTTCTCCCTGGCGTACATCTCGTCAATCATGGTCTSCCGAGCCCTCTTCTCCCTGCCCGTGTCTGGTGCCTCRACGCGAGCCTCCCCCACTGACCTCTTCTCCCTCCTCGCTCGCTCCAAMTCAGGTCGCGGCGCCCTAGTAGCAGGACCCGCTCGACCGACGCCTCTCGACGTCATCACCACCTCCTCCCCTGGCAGGTTAGGCTCTCCGACTGCCTCGTCTGCAACCGCCTCCTCACTGGCCCCACCCTCGCGGCCCTCCTCCTCATCAAGGGCGTCCTGAATCTTGTCCCTCTCTGCGTCGTCCATCCGCTGTCTCTGGCCACCCGCGGGCGCTCTCGTGTCCCGTATGCCCTCATCTGCCATCCACCTCTGCACCTGCTGAGCAGTGAATGACACGAATGTGTAGTCCGTGTCGTTCCAGAGTTCCGCGAGAACTCTCATCCCCCCAACCTTGCAGAAGTTCGACTGCGTGAAATGACGCGCGGCCTTCGAGGACCCCCCCCTTGAAACAGGTGGCCGCACAAGTTGCAACGCAACTTTCGGTTCCCGTGCATCTTGGACTGGTCCCCGACGTACTGGCCCGCGGTGACGAAGTCCAAACAATGTTCCCTCGCCTCAACTTCTCCATCTCCTTCTYGGACAGCGGGTTGAACTTGGCACCCCCAGACCCCCCCGCACCGCTGCTCCCTGCACCCGCCATCATCTCCCCCCCACCAGGATCCAACAAGTCGTGGCCTCGATCTTGGATGTAGTCTGACTGTGCCGCACCGTCGATGTAGCCCCCGACGTCCCCGCCGCTCCTGCCGTCGCGTCCCCTCGATGACGCGCACGCCCACGGTCCACCAGCACCCCGGCCGGCCGCCTAGCAGCGCGCCACGGAGGTGCGCAGCCCTGCCCGGCCTCCCTCGGCCGTGATCGGCCACGATTGGCCGCGATCGGCCGT